ATGCTCAGTTGGGTCTACGCCTTGCATAATCACACCTAGCTGCTGATGTCTATGTAGGTGTATCTCAGGTGACGAGGCAGGAATGCCAGCATCACCTTGTGAGGAAGACGACGGACCCAGAGACACAGGTAAACCAAGCGGATGAGCAACAGCTTTGGCGATCTGACACGCGTATGCCGGTGGAGGCAACAAAGCTGGCTTGGCTTGCAATGATAAAGGTTGAGCAGGCTTGGCTTTATTTCGGGCATACGGGCTTGAAGTACGAGACTGCCTTGCTCCAACGGCCACAGTACCTAACTCTCGAGCCCCACTAGCGGCCACTAGCGGACCGAATCCTACCATGTGCATGTGATGAACTGTCACTGCCGCTACTCTGTCTGGTAGTTGACTGTACCACAGCTAATGCATGGGAGGACGCCTGATCGCCAACCTCGTCTGATGTAGACGAAACCTGCAACATATCGTTGTCGATTGATGTGTTCATGTTACCAATGCTTTGCAAGGCGGGTCAAGGAGGCGAGGGGCCAACCACGAGTGCGGCACTCAAACCACCTATACCCCTGAAGTTCGGAAGTTCAAATACTAAGTGGAAGGAGGCCGAAAGCCAGCCGACCACGTACACAGCCAGAAGTACCCAATCCCAATGCGGAGTACGTTTACACTTGCCTTTTCAGAGCACTCCCTCTGCTCGGCAGAGCTCCAGCAGCGTTCTGCGATCCCGTATGTCCCAGTGGACTCCACGCAAGCCGCGCTCGGCGTCGATCTCACGAACAATATCCAAGCGGTCGTCCACGTGCACCCAGCTGTCAAAAGACGCCTGCTGCTGGTGCCAAAGCTGATTTCTCAAGTGACGCAAGCAAGATGCCTTACCCCAGCGATGAAGAGGTTTGGAGGTCACAATGATTGGCAGCGGACGCGGATACTCGGCAATGTCAGCAATAATGGGATCCCAGAGAGCTTGCGCGCTTCGGCCGTGCGACAAAAATGAAGAGTCAGGAATGAACGAGCAAACCACCACAATGGTACGCTCAGCCAGAGCCGCTCTCACAATGTCACGCGTCTGAGAAACGTTTCTGTCCGCTACTTTGTGCTGGTCCAAAGCAAGCAAATAGCGGAAGCCCAAAGAAATCGCACGCTCGAACCACTGCGTCACCTGCTCAAGCCCACTATCGTACCGATGCAAC